TGTGATGGGAAGCTTAGCAGAAGACTATGAGAAGATGCCGGTGTATGATCAGAGTGTCTGGGCTTTGCACAAAGCTCAAACAGCTGAGTTCAGCAGGGTGTAGAGCCGTGCTCCTGTGGGCAAAGGCAGATTGGGACAGCATAGGGTTTGCAGTGCACCAGTGCTCTTGTGTTCTAGTGTGTAACTCTGCCTGCCTAAAAAGCCACTTTGATGTGGAGAAAGGGATATGGTGGAGGAAGTAGTATTCTTAAGAGACAACAAATATACTGTTCTTTGTGAGAAATATGGAGTGAGAGACAAAAAAAGAGACAGAAAGCCCAAAGGTTAACTGAGCAGCAGAGAGGAGGGTGGAGAAGAAAAACAAGAACTTAAGAATAGAGAGGTAGCAGGAATTACAGAGAGTGAGGGGTGGTGTCTAAATGTGGCTCAGGGTTAAGGCGAGCTGTGCTACTATAGGGGTGGGCGATATCTCGATATTTAAAATATATCGAGATATTTTTTAAACACGATATGGATTTTGACATATCGTATATATCGATATATTGTTTATATTTAATCCTGATTTCGCCACTTTGCTTGTTTGCCTTCTCTGTGCTGTGCTCGCCCCCGCCTCCTTGCTTTTGTTCCCCCTCACCTCGCGTGTTGTCTCATTCAACAATTGTCTCTAGAGATGGGATTTATGGCTCTTTGAGGAGATCCGGATCTTGGCGATCCGTTCCTTTCAAAGAGCCGTTCAAAAGAACGGCTCTTTTGGCTCTTTTTAAATATTTAGTCAGTTTTAAGAAGCCAGCTTTGGGGGCATCTCAGTTTATCCTGGAAATAATCACTGGGAGGAATGATGAGGTGAGATTTGTAGTCAAATAATTAAAACTCAGATATCACACACCAATATCTGAGTTTGAATTATTCTGAAATATTGATTATTACCTCATATTCCATAGGGTTGCACAACATCCCTCTGCTTAGAAAGTGATATCACTATTTTGGATTTACCTTTAGTACAAAGTGTGTGTATGTGTAAAGCTATGTTGACTTATGTTATTCATACAATACCACAAGAAAATTTTGATAAAAAAACAAAAATATTTAAAGTTGTAAATATATACTGTAGATACAATAACATGAACACAAAATCCAATGTAAATAAATACAAAGCAGTACCTTTGTATTTATTTACAAAGGAACTTAGTGTTACTTTAGTGTTTTTTTTTTTTTTTAACTGGAGTAACCATGTGACGGCATAAGTCATTGGCTCCGCTCCTACCCAATGACAGAGGCACGTAGGGTTTTTTCCCACTGGAGTACTCACGTAAAGGATGCGCGCGCGTGCACAACTATCATCATGCTGTTTCACCCCTGCGCTGGGTGCGCCCCTTCCCCTATAACTGAGGAGCTAATTTGTGTGCATCTGTGTGAAACACGCATGAAAAAAGAACGACAGAAAGAACGGCTCCCCTCCAGCCGCGACTCGGCTCCCATCGTTCATGTTTATGAGCCGTTCAAAAGAATCGGTTCGTTCGCGAACGTCACAACTCTAATTGTCTCATCCGCAACCAGCCCGGAGGCTACAGAACTCCGAGTGTGTCTGTGCGCGAGCGACAGAGCACGAGAGAAACCGAGTGTGAGCATTAATTGCATTAGTAAATTGGTAGCCTACATACTACAATATATAATTACTATATAAGAGGCATGGAAGTTCGATTAATGGACTCCAGTAATCAGAAGGCTACTACAAACGTCTTGTTTTAAACTATTGCAGGGCTCGAATTTCGGCGCGGGTATTGCGCATAATTCTAATCATTCCCGCAGGTCTCCCATTTATAATGCGGGAAATTCCCGCAATCGTAATCCACACAGATTATAAAATCAAATCATTCTTTTAACAACTATCTGCCAGACGCAATTTCACAAACAGCGTGAGTGTTCAGCGGTGCCGCTTCTTTCTCGTCTCTCATAATGTGTTGTGCAAGGCAGGCATCAAGAGCTGCGGCGATAAAACACACTCGCGTTTAGGACTCGGGACATGATGGATATTCACTCGCACAATCGGGCCAGCAGTGCATCGTGACTGAAGTTTACCATTTGCACGTCTTTTTAAGTCTGTCTTACCAGTTTAAACATTCAAGCGATTTTAAACTAATCAGTGCTCGCGCGCTCTCTGAGAGATTATTTTCTATGCGCACATTCATAGAAAATCCGCCTTAAGAACAGCTGGCCAGTAACAAAAGTTATTTTTCGCGGATTATATTGCTTTAACACGCTAAATTGTCAATTTCGGTCGTCGTGAGTATACTCTAAACATAGTCGGTTTTGTCTTTAATAAGCATAAAACGCATGCCAGTATAATGAACACAGGATCCGTGCACTACCTCTTAAAGTGACGGCAGCCATATGTGTGTCATTCATTTTGTTGTCAATACAACAAAAGATAGCTTTAAGTTAAAGGAATCAGGATTAATAACCTATGTATTTAATTTATTCAGGACTAAAATACTACTCGGTGTTATTTTCCATTTGATTACTTTATTCAGTTTCTGTATATGAATCACGTGATTAATAATGATGACGAAATTCAGGCCCTGTGTTTAATTTTTCTCATTTGGTTACATTCTGTTATGGAAAATTAATTTTCTATTGATTGTAGGCCTATATTTTGAGTTGTATTCACATCCATTTTCCTGTAAAGATATCGAGATATATATCGAATATCGAGATATAGCAAAATATATCGAGATATATTTTTTGCTCCATATCGCCCAGCCCTATGCTACTATGTTAAAAGAAGAAACGGATTCATGTTCTCTCACCACTTTGACATGAACAGAAAGGTCTCAAAAAAGATCAGTAGCCAAAGCTGAATTACTTATTCATGACTGCTTCAACACTTAACCAGGAGGGACATCTGTATGCGTTACATGTAAGATAGCAATCAAAGGCCTAATAAATAGCCTTCAGAAAAAAGAAAAAGATATCTATTTTTTTTTATCATATTTAATATGCAATTTAGCATAATTGGCTTTGATGTACAGTAATGGTCAGAATTTATTATTTACGCTATAAAAAAGTATTATATTTATAGTGAAGTTAATTGGAATATAATGAATACAATTAATGAACACATTAATTATTAACACATATAAGCAGGGTGACATTTCTCATCACTCTATTGAACTAAATCAGAGCCAGGAACTGCTTAACTGTCATTCTAGATTAGATAAAGACCATGGACAAAGAACTGATTCTCTTTGAAATGTCTGTCTACAAATCATTAGGTTTGTGCATTCTTTCAGCCATCTACCTTGACATAGATACCGCTGGTCTATTTCAACACTGGCCGCATCCTTCACAACAAAGCACTGAATTAGTTTTATTAGATTAGATAAGCAATTAGGTAACTAACAAAGTAAATAAAGCTCAAGGGCTTCAACCAAACAGTTCCAAATGGAATTAAAGGCAAATTAGCTTATTGACAGGAGAAATTACACCACTGCCGGGCTACGCATGCCTGTATTTCTCCCCTGACGGAGACGAACAGAGACAGACATTTCATGTGGCAATAATACAGAAGATTATAGCATTCACTGAGGGTCTTCATTTCCAAATCTGTTAGAAATGAATGAGAGTTAAGAAACCAGATATTTAAATTCACTGAAATCTCTCTCAGCATAGTGGGAAGCACTAAAGCTCTTAATCACTGCAAGCCATAATAAGAATCCATTCCACAATGTCAGAACGGCTGTGTGAGACTACGCCACCATCCCTGCTAAGATACCTCCCCATTTGGACTCTTAACCTTTCCTGTCGGCCATACTGTGGAGCATATGGGCCCCTTACGCTTCATTATAGTTCCTTCATCAACCCTCAGAACTGCTCTACACCGTTTTAATGAAACTTGTCTATTCATAGTAATGGAAAAAGCTGGATTTACACATAGCAAAAGGATTAAGAAAGGCTCTTTGGCCATTAACTAGTTTTATTTCCTCCTCTGCAAAAGCTCTAATTATAGTCCACGGGGCCAATTGTGTCCAGTCTCCTGGGTTGATCTCTGTAACATTAGTTCATCTAATTCAAGCCATAAAAAGACTCAAAGCTCACGGCTTAAAAGAAGACCACAGGAGAAAACCAATAAAGGATTTGAAGAACACCATAAAGCGGCGTGATTTAGATAGATGGAGTGAGGTATATATTGTATATGAGGGTAAATATCTCAAGGTCACACCGACAGAGCCCCATATTTTTCCAAAGGACACAGCTGATATCTGCCGATCAGGGGTGATAATGTCTTCACAACCCAAAGCTGGCTGTTCAATTAACAGGCTTAACAAATTTAAAGGGAGGTCTGTTGGATTAAACACGATAACAGCTTATGGGAGGGAAGAAATAAAAGGATAGACTTCTGGATCAAAATAAAGCGCATCTTTATCTAGCCTGAAACAATCATGCAGCGAAACCGAATTACATGGCATTATTGCAGAGTCTTCCAAACTGACACTAATAACGCATCACAAACATGCCAGAAAATTGAGTCATTTTACAGAAAGATTAAGTTGTGCTTTACCAGCAAATGGACTGAATAGGTAGAATGAATTATAAAATCTAACAATTTTCTAACAACAATAACTCTCTATATTCAACTTAAGTACAGCTATTGTAGTGGCTATTATGAACTTTTTTAACTTTGCTGTTAAAGAACACTGGATCACCAAGAATAATACACTGACTGGTATGCATTTTTGTAGAGAGGGGGAAAAAATCACCATCTCATATAATTAATTTTCATTACGTCAAGCACTGCAACTGTATCAGTGTCCTTTTTGGACCAATCTTGTAATTTACTACAAAATACTGCTAAGACCATAAATGCAAATGTATTCAGACAAAGCATAATTATTATTATAAACAATTATTTTGTGCTCCACTTGAGAATTTATACTGCCACATGAATGACTTCAAAATATATATCGTAATTGACATTTAAAATAATAATAATAACTATTTACCCTTGCTAGCACTTTCAACATGCTCAAGCTCATCAGGGAACTTCAGGATCTCTGCATACTTTTCTTCACATTTCTCAGCCAGGAAATGCAGAAGAGTTGTATTTTGCTCTGTTGACTTTGTGTCACGAAGCTGCGGAGAAAAGATTGATATGAGTTATGAAATTGCATTGAGTTGCACAGTTAATATATACATTTTGTCATAGTAAGATGCACCATTTAAAGGTAAACCAGAACTTTGAACAAACTCTTAATGTATATAATCAGACACATATTCATTCAGCTGATTCGCATACAAAAGATGGAACACAGCATAGATATATACAACAATAGATAGAATGAAAGATAAATTGATATATATATATATATATATATATATATAGATAGATAGATAGATAGATAGATAGATAGATAGATAGATAGATAGAAAGAAAAAGGAGGATTGCATGATATATGCATGTGTCGATAGCACTTTACGATGTTTGCACAGACATTTGACAAATAGGTGTGTCAATAGAGTTGAAATTGGCTGTAGCAGAGTGCAGAGAGGCATATTTTCCCCTGTTCACTTATTTACCACATTTAATTTGAAAAGGGGCTTTCTCCCCCAAACCACAACCATTCTTTGTACAGGATTAAGGTGACATGAACAAAATGAAATATTTAGATCAATACACACTGCTAACACTCTTGCTGCGGGCTGCTGTAGTGTATGCAATAAAACGTAACACTCTTTATCAATCCAAATCAAGGATCAGATAAACAGGACCAGAGTTACCAAACCTACATTGACCAAGTTAGTTAAATAAAATTAAACTGCACTACAGAAAATTGTGATTAGAATATCACATCTTAAAATTAAAAATAATCCGAAGCTAAAACACTGCTAACCCTGCAGAAACCGAGTCCCATTGAAAGAGGCAAATTATGTTTTTATACAGAAAGAACCGAGTTCCCTTGGTGACATAAATCTATTGCTTGAGAACTAGAAATGATAAACCAAATATGTAGCCATGTTGCTCTTTCTCTCCCTCTCCCCTCCATTTGGAGGGCCATGGCTGCAGGCCCACATTAAGCAGTGCACTGGGGCTGGGTGACCTCTTCACCCTCTCAGACTCAAACAGATTGTTTGCTGTCAAGCCTAGACTCCAGGAAGGCTGCTTTCACACAGAAGATGGCTGCTGAGTCCCGCAGCAGAGCCGGGGAAGGCAGAATGAATCCTCAAGCTGGACTGCACAGCAGATGTGATATTAACCTTTACACAAACTGATGGCAAACTTACGACAGCTGGCACACTTCCCCGCTACACATAATGTCTCCCATAGATTTTCTCTTCCAAAATGTCTCTGCGGATACAGGGTTGAGCAATTGGTTTTCTGCTGGAAAAATGTGGCAGGTGCAATGAGGTAAATTAATAAATGGATGCAGTCTTTTGCATCTTTTCTCTTCATAAATTGTAATTGGCGTGTTTGTCTTTAACAACTGAGACAGGAGTATCAGACCAAATGTAATAAAAAAAAGTAAAAAGAAAACAAATATCAGCCATTATTACAACAACACAGATTGCATGTGTGATTATTTGCAAGGTGATGTGGTGGAAAACAGGAATGGCATTCTCCTTTGAAACAGAGGACTTTTTAGTGTAAAGTTTGCCCAGTCTATGCAAACCATTAATGTGGAAACTGCAAAAATGACTTATTTACAAACTTTTAATACATTTTTAATATACGTAGTTTAGTTATCAGCTTATTAAATAAACTGTTTAATAACTAAATAAAATAAAACAAAGCTGTGGTAACTTCTCAAAAATAGAATAAAGTAAAAGGTAGTTTCTGTGAACTATTAGGGGGGGGGGGGGCACTCTAGAAAATGTGTATAGAGTATAGAAATGCTTATAGACCACTATCAGAAATTGTGTCTATCGAACAGTAACAATCTGCCCATCCAAAGGTAATAATTCCCTTACTCCATCTCGTCCTTCATCTAAGAGCTTACCATATTGAGAAAGTGCTTACAGTTTTGTTTGTAAAGGTGTGGGTGAAAAACAGTCATGTACATCTAAACTGTTTTTGGCACAATAACATTTAACTAACACCTACACAGCTGACCATCAGGCTGCCAAAGCTGACCGAATCCATGACCGACCAGCTGTCTGGTCGTGAGTGGATGCTGATGTTTCATTTAATAGCAGGCAGAGATGAGATAAGCCTTCTCTGTCGAACAGCTGACAGGAGTCTCTCTCCCCTGCTGCATTCCATTACGGCCCATCCCATGTACGTGGCCGTCTTCCCTAATGATCTAGGATTACTTAAATGATATGCACACCAAAGGATTCATTTATCATTTTGAGATGCAAACAAAGGCAATATATTAATCTAAGCACATCTAGACATATAATTACCTATTCAATGGGGTCTAAGAGATCAATAAAGCTTTTAGCCCTGCAAGGCCTTTGTATCCTTTTCAAAGTGAGAAAGCCTTCCAGAGATTAAAAAGCAATTGTTTCCAGGTAGGATGAATTGCTGTGAGCTCAGACTGGAGAAGTCACAATTGATTAGTCCATTAGAAAAGCATAATTTAGCCTCTTGCTTTACAGCCCGTTTAGTGGTATTTATCTATTTATCAGGGAGCGCGATTGCACACTTTTCTGTATCGTCCACACTAGAGGAAACCTAGCAAAAATTCCAGCAAATAATCTGTGAATTATTATCGGAATTTCCTGTGGAGTGTTTTCATTCGAAAATGCCACTGTGTTCCAGCATCCATTAGATAAATCACTTCCAATTTCTCCCTGAGAGATTGGCAATAAATGAGAGCAGACACAGAAACATTCCTCAGCTGCAATATCCAATATAATACAACACACGCAGCACCTTACAGAGTCTCGCTGCTAAAGATGAGGAAAGGAAAACAAAAATGAGAAGAAAAAAAAACTAAAACCAGATCCTAAACGCTGGTTTATTTTCTTCCAGAATGACCCTTTCTTCTACGCAGCTGGCTGTCTAAAATCAATATTGGTTTACAAGGATTGGAACAAAAAACAGAGCACGGAAAAATAACAAGAAATCTAAGCAAACAAAAAACAGGTCTTTTTTTTTCTTTCACTTTAACCGAGACAGAACCCACACCGCGCTTGCACGTCTTTCATAAGGAGTACAACGTTTGCTGTCGTTGCTGTGGAAGCTGTTGCTTCACATTCCAGAGTAAATGCATGCTGAATTTAAAGTAAATGCCTTTGCAAATTATCTCCAGTTTGATCTAAACCATTGCTTTCCTGCGTGTGAATTAAAACACACGTACCATAGTTAAGGTAGAAGTAATTGTGAAAGCTCCAGTGAAGATATCAAAACAGGGGCAGTTGCTTTTGCACTGCAGACACTGCATCCGAATCCTAATGTTGTTTTCTTTATTTAAACAGAATTAAGTTTTGCACCCGCTCAGCCACGGGGTGTTTACCAATCAGCCTGCACTGAGCCGCTAACGTACAGAACAGCGGCAGAGCAGGCGGAGAGATAATGCACTTTAAAGGCTTTGCCATCCGACGCTGACGACCTCAGCATGCGCACTGCATGCCTGCCTCCTCTGATTTACACAGCTATCACAGGAAACAAGCCACGCACAGTCTATGTCTTTTAAGAGAGGGAAAACAACCTCAACCTTAGAAAAACGAAAACATTTCCTTCCTACACGTTAACTAACTTCATGCTACTTTTCTTTGATTTCTATTTGAAGTTTTAAATTATAGCATAATGATGCCAAACTATTAATGTCTTCATGATGCCACAATCAGGTTGATTGAATTTTGAGATTGATGAGTCTGATCTGGACTCTATAATTGGGAGTAAATAATAAATAATCAGTAGTGCCTCAAACAGTTCATAAATTAAAATAATGTTGTCTTTATTTTTGTCACCTTCTTTATTCTATTATTCACTGTCAATCATAATGAAAATCACAAGATACACTTAACAAGAATAAGTTTCTCAAACAGCCACATAAACAGTTGATAAACTACATGTTGCCTATAAGTGCAGTATTTAAATGCAAAGACACCTGGTCAGAATATGTCATTTTTAATACATCTCAACAACTGCAACTTTAAGAATGATGCCGCATTTGCAAATGTGTGAAACAAATGAAATACATTTTCAGAAAATTTCTGAAAATGTATTTCAATTGTTTCACACACATACATATGACATATGACTAACGCAATTCCAAAATCCATTTCTTTCCAGATAAATTGATTTTGGAATTGCATTAGTTATTTATATCTCAGATCATTAAAGCATATTACTGAACTATTTGGTGCTCACTGCTCCAATCTATATAAAGCTGTTTTGCACCTTGAAACTGTGTGGAATATGACTGTCCTCCAGTGATGTTGAAAGATTTAAGTGGCAGTTATTATTGCCAGACTTTCAGTGCTAATCACATCAGCTTAATGGCCAGTGAAGGGAATACCAAATGAGGGCGAATATGTAATGACTGCCGCAAAATCCGAGGCCACAATAATTGACATGGACATGCGAGGAACATTATATTGGTCTCATTTTCAATGGACATGTAATAACAAGGTTCATTTCACGAGAGCCTGCATAATGCCCTGAAAATTGCCAGCAATCCAGCCACAAGGGTTTTCGTTATAGGCATCTTCAATTGATCCTCAATCTATTTGTGAATAACATATTTTAAAATTATATTTCTATAGATATTTATTGGCTACAGCCGGACCTCTCACCTTCAGAGGGAAAATAATGTGACTATAAAGACACCTTAATGACACTTGTTGCTATGGGCAATGGCTATTATACCTCATGTAGTGCAGAAGAGCTCATTGTGGATTATAACAACTTTGGCAGGAGTAAAATCTACTAACCGCCGCCATTCTCCATATGACAAGTACAGCGAAAAAAAGAAACACACCGAAATGAATGACGGGGGCATGTTAAATCAATCTCATGTGAATAATTACCATGGGATGGGTGGGTTGGAACGGGAATATAGAGGGAGGGCGAGCGCAAGCGTCTGCCGCTGTCTCCACGTCAGTGCACCGGCAACTTGTTCCGTAATCATTCCCCACTGTGACTGCACTGGTGCTGGAGACGCATGCTGCGAGAGCTAATTAGCACG